CTCCCTCTCCCACTCCCCCTGCTTGTGTTCCCTCTCTCGCTGTGTCTCTCTCTGTCAAATAAATAAATAAAATCTTTAAAAAAAAAAAAATTTGAGTGATTCCAGAGTTAACCTAATAATGACTGATTTGCATCCAGATGTGTGTTTTTGAGTAGGCAGAAATGGAGCACACTCGTGAGATTTTTCCAGCTCAGGGACTGTGTCTGAGTGATCCGTGCCACAGCAGAGAAGGATGTCAAGAGGCTCTCTGCAAATCTCATTATTTAGAGCTCTAGACTGAGGCCACTGGTGTGCAGATCTCACTTGTAAGAGTTCCCATTTCAGTCACCAAGTATAGGAGAGTGAGTACAGGGAGGGAGGGGTACGTGCAAGTCTGAATCCATGTTAAAATGATTAACATTTGTTCAAGTAAAAGAAACTTAATTTTTTTTTTTAAGATTTTATTTATTTGAGAGAGAATGAGAAAGAGAGAGCACATGAGAGGGGGGAGGATCAGAGGGAAAAGCAGACTCCCTGCCGAGCAGGGAGCTCGATGCGGGACTCGATCCAGGGACTCCAGGATCGTGACCTGAGCCGAAGGCAGTCACTTAACCAACTGAGCCACCCAGGCGCCGAAGAAACTTAATTTTTTATCAGGGTCCTTTGCATATGTTTGAAACCATCAACTGTTGTGTTGCTGTCAGTTTTGATTTGTGGTTCAAGATGTGCATCTTCTCAGTTCTCAGAGGTGCTCAGTACCCCCAGGCTGCTGTCCTGTGATTCACGCTTCTGGTCGTTTTCACTGAGGGATTTGTGATTTTGCTATCTGACTAGCTTGTCTTACTATTCATTTCCTCATCTTTCCCTTTCCTCTATTATTTTGTCATAATTGTCAGGGTCTTATGAACAGGTGCATATTCTTATATTGAGCTTCATTACAAAGCTTTCAGGATCACTTACATATATATAATTTTGTTTTTAAGAGAGTGAGTGTGCAAGCAAGTGTGCGTGCATGAGGCGGGAGAGAGGGACAGAGAGCATCTTAAGCAGGCTGCATGCCCAGCACAGAGCCTGATGCAGGACTCAATCCCAGGACCCTGAGATTATGACCTGAGCCAAAATCAAG